CCCATTCCACCAGCAGATCAAGAACACAAACAAGGAAGCAAACTTAGACCAGGCTTTCAGAGATTTTTACTCCTCCAGATCCAGGCAGGGCCTATGCCCATGAGATGGCAGGAAGAAGCTACAGAAGCTACAGAAGACAGACCCTTCATCCTTCTGCAGCCCCTTAAGATTAAGGGGGAGTATTGACTCTGAGGGGGAAGTGAGACAGGGAACTGGCGGGTACTGCTTTGGGTGTGGCATTGGGGCAGGCGATGTCTTCGGCATTGCTTTGGGCATTGCTGTAGGCATTGCCTAACTGAGTCAGGAAGTCTCCAAACAAAGTTTCAAATTGCCCTGATCAAAATAGGATGGAGGCAGTGTGAGTTCTGACCGGTTAGAACCAAGATGGTGGAGAAACACCGTCCCTGTCATGAATATTCCCTCCCTTGTTTATTTATCCTATTGCTTAAATAGAAAGGCAACAGGAACGAGGGGGATGGTTCTCATCTGCAAGGGGCCAGTTCTCTCTCTTCTGCAAAGAGAACTTGCCTCTGCTCTGTCTCTGGAGTAGACTTTCTAACTTTCCATATTTTCTGAATAAATCTCATTCTCACTTTATTTTGTTGGCTTGCTCCTGAATTCTTTCTTGCGTGAAGCCAAGGACCCATGTAGACTTCAAGTGGCCCCCAGCATTGGGAGTCACTTTCATGCGTCAGTTGGATTAGGAACTACAGGGTGATGAGGAATTACAGATGAATTAATGGCTCTCAGATCTTGCACAAATCTATAGAGTTAATTCTGCCCTGTTTGAATGTGTCCCCTCCAAAATTCAGGAAGCAGAAAGCAGCCCCATCATGCATGGAACCTGCTAGCACCTTGATCTTGTATTTCCCAGCCTCTGGAATTGTGGGAAAGTAAATTCTGTTCTTTATAAATTACCCAGCCTCAGGTTATAGCAGCTGTAAATAAAGGGAAACCCAAAAAAGCCAGTCACTCAAGATGGATCCCAAATGGTTAATTGGACCTAAATTTTAGATGGAGCCAATGACCCATTTGCTGACTAGAGGTCAAATACTGTGAGTTCCCAGAAAGCCCACACCTCTGTTTAATCTGGGGTCTTTCAGAGCTCACCTGACCTAACCAATCAGGACCCAGCCATATCAACCAATCAAATTGAGCGAGTTTGAAGCCTTCATTTGCATAAACAGACCTGATCGGTATCGTGGGTGGTATACCCTGCTCCATAAACAAGAAAGTGTCTTCTCAGTAATGTCTTTAGTTCTCTCATATTTCAAATGAGTTTCCAGTGCTCACATTATGACTGGGACTGACAACTCTAAATTACCTTGACAGTGAGATTTATCTCAGCCCCGGTAGCTTAACAGCTACAGTCTCAAAATAGGTAAAAAAGAGAGAAATCTCGGTAAAATTTGCTGACCAGAACCTTGTAGCTCTCTGTTGCACTGATGCATTCTTCCTTGAGTTTCTTTCTCAGGAACCGCAGAACCTCTTTATAGCCAGGAGGTAACTACAAAGCCTCACACCACCAAGACAAGACCAGTGACACTCCACCACAGACCATGCCCAAAAACCCACTGAGCCTGTGCACAAGGCTGAAAAAATAGCCAACGTTATCCCTAGCTCATCATAATACTACATTCCCTGCCCTGGAGGGACATAGCCGCCATTTTTTGACCATGGGACATATGTACTAACTAGCACAGTCTCTGACTGCACTTGTATGCTCCGCACTCCGCCCCAACATGTAGCGATGCCCGCTCGCCTCATGCGGTATTCATTTCGCCCCCAGAAAAACCCTGACCCTATTGGTCGGGGAGGTGGATTCGAGGCAGTTCATAACCTCCCCTGCCAGAAGACCTGTCTTCTGCAATAAATCCTTTCCTCCTTGACAATCTTTGTCATTTCAGTAATTGGCCTTCTGTGGCGTGGGCAACATTGAAACCCCTTTGTGGGCTCATTAACAATTTGGGGGCTCATCTGGGATCCATTGCTCATGGCTTGGTGGCCATGGAATGGGGAGAGACTTTAAAGCTTCCCTGGCTGCTGCCTGGCTGAGGTTCCGCTGGAGATTGGTTTGGGTTTCTTCCACTGACTTCACTGTAGCCAGCCCCAAATGCATCCCTGCTTATCAAGAAAGAATGAACCTTTGACCTTTGGATTATGGCATTTGCATCTGGATAGGTTGGTGCTGTTTGAAGGCACTGCACAATGGAGAAACTCCTCTCTCCATCAGGGAATTTCTCTGGAGTTCCCATTTAGGCTGGGGACCATTTATTTGGGAGAGAGCAGAAACTGACTGTTTGCATTTGTCACTCCTTAGGCTTATTTGTTGGAACTGCAGTCCATTTGGTGATGTGTGTTTTTGTGTGTGATTATGGGAAACAAAAATTCAATTCCTAAATACAGCACTTTGGGTTATATTCTTCAAAACTGGTCTGAATACAGTTATGAGCCTATGAAGAAGAAAAAGATGACATATTGGTGTAATACTACGTCATGGAGCTATAAACCTATTCTCCAGTTAGATTTGTTTTATTGCCATATTAGGAAATGGGATGAAATCCCTTATGCACAGTGTTTTATGTTTCTGTATCAAAGCAAGTTATATCAAATCACTGTGCAAGATTTTAATAAAGAGGACAGCAGCCTTCACGAAGGTCAGAGAATGACAAAGCACATCTAAGGACAACGTATCGCCACGAGAAGGAAACGCCCATGCTGAAGAAGACCTTTGGGCAGCTGTGGCAGCAGCGCCAGCTGTGGCTGCGTCAGCTCAGGCTCAGGCTGTGGCTGAGGTGCTGGTGGCAGCTCTGGCTGTGGTGGTGGCTCTGCTGCAGCTCTGATGTCTTTGGGGGTCCCTCTCCTAGCTCTCCTGCCCCCCTTATGGCTCTGGACCCCTTTCTTCTCCCTCACTGACTCCTCCAGGCACCTACCCTTCACTTTCTTCCTTCTCGGAGAGTCGCCGGCCAGCACGGGGACGTGGTCTCGCCTCCATCCGCACAGCAGGGCCCACCATTTGGTCAGGTCCTCCCTCCGTCCCAGCAGCACCGTTTTTTCGAGACGGGTCCCTGTAGGAGGAATCAGTGAGAATGGACAACCGGCTGGATTAATTGGGTTTAGAACCCATTTACCACTTCTGATTGGTATAACTGGAATCCGAATAACCCTGGCTACAGGGTGATCCAAAGCGTATAACTCATCTGTTTGAACCTATTTTCTTCACCCCTCACGCCACGTGGGCAGATGTCCAGAGCCTGCTTCACACACTGCTGACCTCTGAGGAGCATCACGTTGTCACGGAAAAGGCTCAAGAGGAAGTGGACCGAGTACGTGCGGAAGACCCCAACTGGGACCAGACAATGGAGATGAAGGTAAGATTCAACTTTTTTGAGACTGAATCCTGGTTGGACTTAGAAAAAGGGCCCCCAGAAACTAAAAGCCTAAACAAGGTTCAGGAAATAAGATAGGAACCGGATGAAAATCCATTGGCTTTCCTAGAGAGGATTATGAAGGCATATCGGAAATATACTGATAGATCCAGGAAATCCTGACAATTCAAGGTCAATCAACATGACCTGTGTTGGACAGAGCATGCGTGGCGTCGTGCAGAAGTTACAGGGAGTTCTCAAGTTGCCCATGCCTCACTTGGCTGAAATGGCTCATAAGGTCTTTATAAACCATGAGCAAACCAAAGAAAAGCAAAAGGAAAAAAGAAAGTATATGAAATAAAACAACGGGCAAAACTTTTGGCAGCAGTTCTGGCAGAAAACTCCAAACATGTTTCTGCTCTCCTAGGGCCCCTGGGCCCCTGTGACGGCCTTATTAAGGAAGATCCTGCACTGCCAGACAAGTTCCAATGTAAGGGCCAAAGGACCAACAAGAAATAAACCTGGGGACTGGAAACACTAAGAAAATGTGAACAGGGACGATCTTGGGAAAGCCACCGTGTGACTCGTGCGTGAATTCTGGCTTCACCCCACAGGGTGCAGGCGCGGATCTGGGGCTACATAGGCTGCGCCAGACTGTGAGAATAAAAGTAATGGGTGAATCACAATTCAGATCCCACCTAGAATAGTCAGTTATGCACACCCAGAACAGATGTAAACAGCAGGGCAAAGGTATATAAGTCACAGTCACATGGGCAACTTAATCCACAGAAGATGGTTTGGAACTTCCAGCCTGAACCATCCTTAGCAGTTTGCCTGTGCAAACACGACTATCAACATACAATGTAAAGATCCCAATGCTTGATGACATAATATTGGATATGTTGAGGATAGAACCAAAAGTGACTTGACATACTAAAAAGCAAGAAACCCTCAAGTGACATGGGCCAGACAATGGACAGAGGATTACCAGAGACGACACAGTTGGCATTATCTGGAAAAGGGTTTAGAGCAGCTGGTATTAAAGTATCCCAAGAAATAAGAGAAAACACTGTTGAAATGGATGGCAAGAAAGTTTCCAAAAAATAATAAATGATATAAAAGAAGATAAAGTAGAGCTGCTAGAAAAACAACAAACCAAAATCAAAACCCACCACATGCTACTGCAGTGGACTAGACACTGCAGAAGAAAGCATTAGGGCCTCTGAAGCCATAGCAAGAGAAACTAATCAAAATAAAACATACAGAAAAAAGGACCCCCCCCCCCAAAAAAAAGAGAAAAAGGAGCAGTGACTTGTGGGATGACTGTATGATGCCTCTTATTCATGTTACTTAATCTCTAAGGGGGAAGAGACAGAAGAAATAATGGGAAAATAACGGACCGAGCCTAAGGAAAGCTATCCCCCATATTTCAAGCAATTCAATGAATTTGAATGACAGAGATAGAAATCACATAAGGTTCATCGTCACCAATATTCTTGTTCTGGCGAAAGTGCTTCTAGAGCCCTCTCCAGGCTCCATTGTTAATAAAATCTCGACAATGGATGTTCAGTCCCTGAAGAGTCTGTCATAAAATTTCTTGTACTCACTCTTCTCAGTTTTTAGAACAGCAATTCCAAGAATAAATTTCTCTCTGTCCATTTTGGCAGCTGGACTCACATCATGGCCGCACAGGTGACTCCTGTTCAAACCGCCTGTGTGGCCGCAGAGAAAGTGCAACTAGGGGGATCGAGTTGCTGAGTTGAATGTGGGTGAACACACCTGAGTGTGCTCCTCCGGAAGCTGCACGAACCTGCAGGGAGAGTTTAGGACACGCGTTTGCACACAAGGCTGTCGCAAACACAGAAGAGAGAGCATCGCAGACGTGGAAATAGGGAAGCAGATTGACAAGTGTTAACTGCCTCATTTCTGAGACAGCTCCTTCCCAGATCTGCGGTGACAGCCCCGAGATGCCCTGTAGGAATGCCAGTGACTGTGGCTACGGCAGTGATGGGGGAGGGGTGACATTGGAAGGAGCGAGTGGAGCTGTTTGAGGGGAAGGTGGGGGTTGGGTCCTCTGCTCCTCCTAGCAGTAAGGCTGAGTCCCCGGCTCACTCCTGTCCAGGTTGGTTCTCGACGGGGTGACACACTTCTCTGCATGAGGCCAAGCCAGGCAGGCAGCCAGGGCACCATGACAGCACCGTGTGCCCAGCCCTCTGCACTCACCCTTCCCCGTTCCTCCCTTTATTGTAAGGTCAGTGCCCAGCTCATTTCTGAAGAAGCTGACAGTGACAAGAGTGTGACAGTACTGGTGTGATCTGAAAGCCGAGATGTACCGTCCGGGTGTGTCTGACCCGACTCTCACCTGTACTCTCTGCTCTGCACCAGGCTGGCCTTGATCCTGAGCCAGGACCCAATGTCCCCATCAGTCCCTACAACTCTCTCCCTTCTGCACCTTCCCGGGAGGGGATCTTGGAATATTCCTCAGGAACATTCTGAGCAAAGGAAAAGGAAGTTTGAATCACCCGATCCCTGGACACAATTCTGCTGGACGTCAGTGCCTGGCCCACACCCCAGCAATGGCAGATGCCTGGTGGTGAGGGGGTCTTGTTGTCCCCTGTGGGCTCACCTGCCGCTCAGGGTTTCAGGAGGGCTCTGGTCATCTCATGGAGAAACTCAGCCAGACCTTGGCCTAAGTCTGTGACGGGCGTCCTGTCATGGACATGCTGTCCTCTCCGTACCCAGCTGGCTCCCTGCTGGCACTCACTGTCCCAGATCTCAGCACGTGCTCGTGGGTGACTCTTAGTTGACACAATGAAAAGGGAAGCGATGGAGTGACTGACTCCAAATCTGGGTCCAGACGAGATGTGGATGGTGTGATCTGCACAGATCCAGGGGCGGGTGGATGTGGTTTGCATTTTGTCTTCTTTCATAAATTGAAAATATTCATTCCATATGCACTTATGTAGGTATGCTACCACTCGCAATAAAAATACATGGGACATTGAAACAAAATTGATGTAAATCATTTTACTTTCATACATAGGCAGGGTAGCAGAACACATACAGCAGTGGAGAAATTTTCCATGAATAGATACAAAAATAAGGCGAAAAAACAGACCTTCACATTTTGGAGGCGGTGGCAGCCATGTCACCAGGATTCGTGAACAATGAGACAGGGGAAGACAGACGGAGCCAGTGGTGGGCACGGCTGCTCCTGCTGCTCTGGGGAAGCTGAGGCTGAGGCCGCAGCCCCTCCCTGCCCCTGCAGCTGGTCCTCTGCGTGTCCAGACAGCGGGAAGGGGCAGGGACAATGGGCCTCAAGGGGGGTTCCTGGGAGGAAAGATGGCCCCAGGATGGGAGCAGAGTCAGGATTTTGCTGTCTCCAAACATTGTTCCCAACAGTGAATATTATGTTGTTATTTGTTCACGTGCAGTATGGGGACAGTAGCATTTCCATGCCAACAATCCTTCAAGGGCTCTCTGTCCTGGACTGTGATGGAAGAGACACACAGGCATGGACGAGCGCCGGTCAGCTGGTCCCAGACATCCAGTATGGGACATCTGTGCATGGAACCTTGTTCTCTCGTGAACATGGATGACGTTGGGATAGACGCTGCGATGCAATGAACGCCGAAGACATTATGCCAAGTGACAGATGCCAGGTACAAAGGCCACCTACTGCATGATCCATACATGGGTCATGCCCACCATGCACATGTCCTTAGAGTCAGAGTGTGGGTAGCAGGGCTCAGGGACGTGGGAAATAGGGTGTGACAGGTAACAGGTGAGGTGCTTCTTTTAAGGGTATTAAAAGTGTTCTGGGGCCGGGCGAGGTGGCTCACGCCTGTAATCCTAGCTCTCTGGGAGGCTGAGGCGGGCAGATTGCTCCAGGTCAGTAGTTTGAAACCACCCTGAGCAAGAGCGAGACCCCATCTCTACTATAAATAGAAAGAAATTAATTGGCTAACTAATATATGTAGAAAAAATTAGCTGGGCATGGTGGCGCATGCCTGTGGTCCCAGCTACTCGGGAGGCTGAGGCAGGAGGGTCGCTTGAGCCCAGGAGTTTGAGGTTGCTGTGAGCTAGGCTGACGCCACGGCACTCACTCAAGCCTGGGCAACAAAGCGAGACTCTGTCTCAAAAAAAAAAAAAGTGTTCTGGGGCGGGGTGTGGTGGGTCACGCCTGTAATCTTAGCACTCTGGAAGGGTGAGGGCGGGAGGATCACTTGAACTCAGGAGTTCGAAACCAGCCTGAGTAAGAGAGACACCCTATCTCTACCAAAAAAAAAAAAAGTGTTGTGGGATTAGAGGGTCTTAGGGGTTGCACATACCTATCAATAGACTAAAAACCACTGACTTATACAACTTAAAATGTTGAAATTTATGGAATGTGAATTATAATTCCCCCAAAAGTGTAAAGGCCTAGTGGCTTTATGGATGCCACCAGCTTTCAAATGATTCAGAAAATAAATAAATTTTATGTGCACGTGCCTGTGTGTGTACATATATATATATAACATGGACAAATACATAGATACATATATACATACATGATACACATATACAAAAAATATATACCTATATATGTACAGAGAGAGAAAGAGAATAGAAAGCATTTATGAAAACATGTTAAAAGTTGGTGATTCTGGGACTAGGTTATTCAGGAGTTTTGTATATTATTTTTTTCAAATTTTCCTTAAACTTGTAATTATTTCAATATCAAAGTGTATCAAAGAATAAAGCAAATGAGACCCTGAGATTAGTAATGAGGTACCTGAGTGAGCTCACAGGGGATTTTGATCTAATTTCCCCATGAAGGTAGACCACCGTGGCGAGTGTCACTTCCTGCATATGAGCCGCAGTGATAGTCAGCCTCGTCCCCAGCCTGGGCCCCGCTGATGGTCAGGGTGGCGTGTTCCCTGATTTGGAGCCAGAGAATAGCTCAGGGATCCCTGAGGGCTGGTTCTGTCACCAAAGATGTCACTATAGACGACCAGCACAGGGGCCTGGCCGGGCTTCTGCTGGTACCAGTCGGGATAGTAGCTCCTTAAGCCATCTCCCTGGCAGGTGATGCTGGCCGTCTGTCCCAAGGCCATAGACACTGCAGGCACCTGAGTCAGCTGAGAGGCCACAGAACCTGCAAGAGAGGACAGCAGAGGGGGGTCTGAGGGTGACGGTCTCAACCCTGGAGGACCCCACACCCGGCAGCAGCCCCTGTGCTGAGCGGAAGGTCAGGGCCAGGCTGAGCCCTGGTGCTGTGGGGGCAGGGCCTGGGGCGGCACCTGTGCAGAGAGTGAGGAGGGGAGCAGGAGAGGGGTCCAGGCCATGGTGACACCCAGAGCTCTGCCTCTGACCCACAGCACAGCTGGGCTCCCCCAGGCCTCTCTTATTCCCTCTCAGGCCCTGGGGGGCAGGGAGTGTTTGGTGTTCATGCAAATCCGTGTCCCCTGGGCCTCCTCCTTGGGGGATGTCACTCACCCAGCTGCGGGGGCAGCACAGGGACTGGGCAGGGAGGGGGGTGCCCTGGCTTTCTCCAGTGCTTCTCAGGTCAGCAAATCAGCCTCGGCTTCCAAGGCCTGAGGTCACAGTCACCTTCCTGGGGACTGACCTCATGACCCCTGTTCCAACCCTCCTGGCTGGGGTCTGTCCTGGGCCAGGCTCAGCAGGGCTGTTTCCCTTCCAGGACACTGTGAGATAACTGACCACACCTGCCCCAGCATAAGGGGGACCCAGATCATCCTCTTCCTTCTCCTCCATCTCCCCTCTGGGTCCCCAAACTCACTGAGGTCCCACCTGGTCATTTCACCCAAATGACAGTCTCTGTTGTTAGGATACAGTGAATCATTCACTACAGGGTCGTCTGCTTGTTGAACAACTGTCTGTGTTTGAGGATTCGCCACAGCTCCTGGTCTCACTGCACAGGTGGTGTGGCTCCTTCTGTGACATTCCCATCCCCACAGTGGACTAGCTGTTGTCACCCTTAGCTCCACCTTTTTTCATTTCATTCTCATCAATGTCTTATGTAAACAGCACAAGGAAATCACACCTGACTTGGGGTCCCACCTTAGGCCCCGTGGTCACTGTGAGGGTCCCAGGGCCACTGTCTCTGCACAGGGTGTGAGGTCTGGAGGGGGGTGGTCAGTGGTCCCTCCACCAAAGTGGATCCTGTCACTGCACCAAGGACAGGCCCCACCTGGGCAGCCCCAGCCTGTCTCCTGCTGCTCCAGCTGCAGCTCTGCCGCCCCCTGCTGGTGGAGGAGACTCAGAGCAGGAGCTTCCCTCCTCCAGGTTCCCCCACAGCACCTGTCACCTGGTGGGTGGGGCCCAGTCAGTCCAGCCTCACCCTGTGCCACTGAGACCCGCCTGCTCTGCCCAGCCCAGCACACAGAGTGTGGTGTGCAGGAAGGCGGGCAGGTGCGGGTTCTGGAACCCTATGTGAGTTGGAAACTCCCTTCTCCGATCCTCGGTGTTTCACAGAAGACAGGGCACAGGACAAGCTGTGGCTCTTCTGCAAAGTGCCAACGTCCAGAGACACATCTGGGACACCCTCTAGTGACCTGGACTTCCTCCGTGTTTAGGAAACAAAGTCTTTCTCCACCCTTCCAGTGAGAGCAGCTACAATCCACTGGGACCCTTTGATGTGTCACTAGAGCTCAGTCGTGCACTTACATCATCATCATCGTCATCATCCTCATTACTCTCTGACGCGATTGTTTTATTTCATGGCACACGGTGGCTGTCTGTGCTGAGAGCATGTCCACTTTGTCTCAGTCTGATGACACGGGAGTGTCCTGCTCGCCCTGACCTGGGGAGCCAGTTCCCATCGTCCGGGAACACGCTCTGTGCCGAGCCCCGTCCCGGGTCCCGCAGCGGACAGACAGGACCCCCAGGCTGTGCCCTTGCTGACACTCCTGCTGCGCCTCCCATGAGTCATCAAACCACTCTGTGGAATTTGTACCAGTTAGTGTGGAAAGAAAAACCATTTCTGAAGGGCGGAATGAGCCTCCCCACTGCACAGCAGACAGGTTTACACCCTGAGAGACCATGCCGCCCAGGGAACATGGCACAGCTGGGGCAAGTCCATGGTTGGCCCAGGTGTCCTGAACTCAGACCCTGGGCTTTGGGGGCAGAGCTGGACCAGGGTGGGCAGGGAGGAGATGTGGGGGATGGTGGCCAGGTGGCTGTGTCCCCGCATCTCACTGCCATGCTCCGTCACGGCCTTGGCCATCGTGAGGGGCCCCTGGGCCTGTATGTGCTGGGTCAGCAGGCTGTGCCCAGGACAGAGCTGGAGAGAGCGTGGGTGTGGGGGCTGCTGTGGCTGTGCAGGGCCTGGTCCCCGCTGGCTTGCTCTGCTCTGTGGCCTGCTCCCCTCTCTTCTGAGCAGGTGGGGACACGGTCTCATGGGGACATGGTCTCCCCTCTGAGGCAGCTCAGTATTTAGGAGACCATAGGGTCTGCAGGCTCAGGGAATGGTGGGCTAATCTTCAGGGTCCTCAGGGTCCTGCCATCCTGCAGCCTCTCCTGGGCTGAGCTCATGGTCAGGGGCAAGCCTGGGGTCCTTTGGGAGCTGATCCTGTGTGGAGTGAGGAGGGAGAGCAGGAGAGGGGTGCAGGCCATAGGGAGACCTCCAGGGCTCTGACTCTGAGCCCACAGCCGGGCAGGGTGTCTTGAGCTTGGTCATCCTCCCAGAAAGGATGATGTTTGGGACCACTAAGCTCTGCTAAAGCAGGTGCTGTTCTGGATGGCAGCTGGGGGAGTTGCAACAGATACTGTAAGGCTCCAAACACCAGACACACGCCACCTGGCCTTTGTGCATGTGATAAACTTTCTTTCTCCACTTCCATTCTATCTATGAATGTATAAAATAACATATCATCCTGAGGTGGGGAATGATGTAGACCAGTGCCACCATTACAGACTAACAGACTCATTGGTTGGGGTTGTTTTTGTTTTGTTTTCTTTTGGAGACAAAGTTTCTCTGTTGGCCAGAGTAGAGTGCAGTGGCATCATCACAGCTCTCTGCAACCTCAGTCTCCTGGGATCAAAAGATCCTCCCTCCTTGGCCTCTCAAAGTCCTCAGATTATAGGCGTGAGTGACTGAGTCCAGCCCCGGGTTGGCTTCTAAATGCATTTGATTTATTGTCATAGTCCTGCAATGTTTATCTTAGAAGGTGGCAGGAGACACACACAGACATGCTAGACGCGCTGCAGTTGCAGCGTCCGCCTGACGTGGGACCTGCACGTGCAGAATCCACGCTGCAGGTGCGTGTTACGCAGCCCTGATGCAGGACCTGAGTTCTGTGTCTCCGTCACAGAGCACAACCAGACACAGTGCGGTCCAGGAGACTGGACAACAGGACATGGTTATCCTTCTTCCCTCAGCTGCTTAACTCCCCCCCCCCCCCGCATAATACAGTCCATGGTGGCTGGGCCATGTGGACATCGGGAGAACATTCCAGGGCTCCAGAACGTGCTAGTATTTGGATCCGGCATGCATGGAGGGCCGGGTGTGTTGGAGATCTGGGCGGACACAGGCATCAGCGTGTGGAACAGAAGAACCGAGAGTCATTCCTGCTCAGCAGCTCGAGTGTGCAGGGGCCAGTTCTCTGGAGCATTGGGGCACCTCCCATGAGAGGAAGGACATGTTACTGCATCCCAACTGCCATTAGGGGGAACCATGCGGTCTGTACGGTCACTCTGGGTGGTGGAAGTGGCATTATTCGCATCAGGGATGTTGCTCAAAATGTATCTCAAAGACAAGGACAGTTTCCTCAATGTTCCCAGGTCCCCAAGTGGGAAGGCTATGTGGCAGGTCACACAGGAGTGCCAGCTGTGCCATGATACCCCCAGTAGAGGGGCCAGGAGCCCAGCAGGCTCCTCCATGTGCAGGGCTGGGAGCAGAGACCTGCATTTATGTCAACTCCCATGGGCGATGCCAGTGTAGACCCATGGGCTGTGTGACCTGCACACCTTTTATGATGAAACTGACACGCCTTGTGGAAAGGTCTGCTCTGTCCTTGCCGCACCCGAGAGCCTCGTGCGCAGTTTTTCTCAGTCACAGTAGGTGAAGTCTTGTTCTCAGACATCCAGATCAGCACATCCCACACTGCGGACACGATCCCACGGGGCTCGAAAACCTCATCTCTCAAGACCAAGTTCTCAGACACAGAAACTCAAAGAACAGGTCCTTGTCCTGAGTCTCTAGTGCAGGAACCAGGCTCTCTGGCGACGGTTCCATCCCATGAACCTGTGCACTGGTCTCTGCAGGGCCCTGGATTAAAGTGACAACACATTTGGATAGAAAATGAAGGTAATTATTTGTGAAACCAGTTATCAAATGGAAACACAGGCTTTTCCCGTTGTTTGAGCTGCATGGACGAAGGGACTGAGTGAGTTGAGACCAAAGTCATGGTCATTGCTCAGAGGGTGTGTGAGAGTGACAGACAGGCTGGGGGGGGGGTTCCTGTCCCACATCCACATCTGTGTGTCACCATGAGTCACTGCCAGCTGCTCCCACTGCCATCAGACGTGGCACAGTAGTAGTCAGCCTCGTCCCCAGCCTGGGCCCCACTGATAGTCAGGGTGGCCGTGTTCCCCGAGCTGGACCCTGAGAACCGCTCAGGGATCCCTGACGGCTGGTTGCTGTCACCGTATATAATCAGCACAGGGGACTTGCCTGTCTTCTGCTGGTATCAGTGAGCGTATTTATCTCCAATGTCGTTTCCCTCACAGGTGATCCTGGCAATCTGTCCCAGGGCCACTGACACTGAGGGTGGCTGAGAGAGACCATAGGAGGATACAGAACCTGCTAGGAGAGAAAAGGCTTGAGACTGAGGGGCTCACACCAAGGACACCTTTCCCTGCCTGTCCTACACAGAAGGTCAGGGATGAAAGGGCCCTCAGGGCACCAGCAACACAGCGCGGGGGTCTCACCCCCCGGCCCCCCTCCTGCAGCAGGGCCAGGAGCCTCCTGCCCCCACGGCCAGGCCCTGCTGAGCTCAGAGTCGGGGCCAGGCTTGTCCCCAGGCCCTGGGGCTGGGTGGGTGGGACCCGGGCAGCACCTGTGCAGTGAGCCAGGAGGCCGAGGAGGAGAGGGGTCCAGGCCACAGCGGAGGCGCCCCCGAGGCTGCTGCCCGAGGCCCAGGCTGGGCAGGCGCCTCCCGGGCCTGTCGTATGCCCTGTGGAGAGAGCGGCCCTGATGCACATCAGCCTGGCCAGGGCTGCTGCCTGAGCGCCCTGTGGTTTCCAGAGAAGGGCTCAGCCCCAGGGGACCGGGGAGGGGATAGACGCCCCCTGCAGAGCCACCTCCTGTCCTAGAGACTCTCCTTCCCTTGCTGGTCCCAAAGTCTCAGCTGACGTCTCCAGCCCTGACTGTTTCCTGGCCTCACTCCTGGGCTGTCCTGCCCATGCTGAGCTCAGAAGTGAGTCTGTCTGCGTTTATGGAACCTCTTCCATAGGGACATCATGAGGCTTAACAGGTGCAGGGTCTTCCCCAGGTCACACTCTCTGAGTAGCTGAGCTTGAATTAAATTATTTGTGAAGTACACACGGAGTTTTAAAGAGCTATGAAGTCATTGTGAGTTCCTGCCTTTGACTGGGCTGCCTGTGCAGATTACAGGTGCAGTGCCTCAGTTTCCCCAGTGTGTACTTACAGATGCCATGATTGAGACATGTCTGACAGGGACAGAGTTTTAGGACCAATGCCATGGGATATGGGTGAGTACAGTGCTTGGACTCCTATTACGGTAAGAGGGGGATTGTGCAAGAGCCAGATCTTGCGGGGACAGAATTTGCATGTCCGTGTCAAGGACTCAAACGAGCCCTAAGTGGAGGTGGAGGAGGCTGTCAGGGCCCAGGGAGCTCTGCAGCGTCCACATTGCTCAGCCCCCAGTCCAACCACATACGCCCCTGGGCTGCTCACTCTGCTCCTGACAGAGGCACCAGCCAGGCTGGGAGTGGGGCCAGTCCCCGGGGCACCAGCGTGCCTGGCACCCAGCAGTCCCGCTGCTTGGTCTGAACTGAGACCAGCGCCCCGGGGTTGGGCGGAGTGCTTGGCCTGGGTCTGCAAGACTCACCCAGCCCTGGCACGGGCCACTGCCCACAGCACTGTCAACTCAGGTCTCCCTGCCATGAAAACACCTGCACACATGCCGGTGACACAGCCCACGGGCCAGGGGCTAAGTCTGAGGATGGAACTACAGGGTGGGAGGCAGTTTCTTCTGCTTGTCTGTATCTACGTGTTTGTGCGATGAATCTGCACGATTCTGAAGGAAGGAGAATAGCAGGGGACACAACACCCCCCAGCACTAACAGACTAGGGGAGCAGAGGGGCACCAGTGCCAGGCGGTGAGGCTCCAGCAGGAGCCTTCTCCTGCTCTGGTCCCGATCCTGGTCCTTCCATCCCACCCGGCCTGGGATCCTCACCCATGGTATCGTCCCTGCGGCTAAGAGGAGGGGACAGCACCCACACGGGAACCGGGAACCCACCTTCCCCGGCTTGAGCGAGCACCTGCTTCCGGGCCGTCCTGCAGAGTCTGGGCCCGACTCTTGCTGCGCCCCGCCCAGCCACAGGAACCCTGCAGGATATTTCCCCACAGGTTTCCAGGCCGCACTGGCTCTTCCAACTCTGCACCCCTCCTGGGCCACGTTCCCAGCAGGGACCCGGGCCACAGTGCCACTTGGCCTCCACCCGCTCACTTTCTGAGGAAGCGTCCACAAAGCTCTTGCATTTCCCACGAGCCACAGCCTCCCTCGCCACCTCTCCCGACATGGGGTGAACAGAGCCAGACGCTTCACCAGGACACTGCCCCTCCCTCCTGGCCCTCGGCCCTTTGCAGCTGCTCCTGCAGAGCAGGAACCCCGATGCGTGCTGCAGTGGCCGGCCCTCCCCACACGCACTGGTGGGACAGAAAGACGGGGGGGAGGACGTGCTCCTGGGTGGACACCTTCACGGCCCTGCAGAGAGACGGAGGGAGGCTCGTGGGCAGCCCTTGAGCATAAGAGCCTTGGCTGAGGGTCTCTCCCATCATCCTCACAAAAACCTACAAATGGCAAGGCCAATATCCAGGCGTGTTTCTGAGCCCCATCTCCTTTGCCTCTCGTCCCCGGAGCAAGGCGCTGGCAATTTGCCCCTGGAATGGGGGAGACTCAGAAGAGCAAAGCACCTGGTCACATGTCCCCACGTGACCCTCAGTCAGGAGCACACCAGGCAGCGTGGCAGCTTCTCCTCTGGCAGAGCTTGGATTGGTCTTTAAAGGATCAGTAGCCGTTACAGTTCTAATTATCAGTGCCTCCCGGACCCTGAACAGCCACTGTGGCAAGTAGATGGCACTGCAGGCACACGCCACCATGCCTGACTGATTTTTCAAAATTTTTGAGTAGAGACGGGGTATCGCTATGTTGCCCAGGCTGGACTTAAACTCCTGCAGTGATACAGTCCTCCTGCCTCGGCCTCTCAAAGTACTAGGATTACAGGTGCGAGCCACCACACCCAGCCTGGGATTCATTCTTCATTTTAAGAAACAGACTGATTTAAAAATGGGGTCCCCATGAGGAAGCACCCAGCCCTGCTCAGCTAACAAACCTACCTCCCCAGGGCCTAGAAATTGCGTGGCGACCCCGAGCCCCACGAGGTCCACGCAGGCCTGTAGCGGAGGTTCCAGCCAATGAGGATGCCATCCAGGCTGCGGAACATGCGATGCACCAGCCACGGGGAGATGGCGTGTGATGCTGAGGCAGGGAGGGTGTGGACAGGGGCCGAGGACAGTGCCCACTCCTGCCCCGGCTCCAGTCCTGCACTCTGCACTGCCCGCTCCGAGGAGGTCACACCGTGGTGGAGACCCCGAGGGGCAGCACCTTGTCCTGTAGATGAGGAAACCAGAGCTCAGAGGGTGCAGACACCCAAGGTCCCGCAGTAACAGGGAGGCAAAGTCAAGCGGAAGGGGTCTAACGCCCACTCTGCCACCGATTCCACCACACGCCCCTCAAAGCCACCACCACACAGTTCTTCCAGCCAGTGGAGACAGCTGGCCAGGCCCTCAGCCACGCAGCGGTCTCACATGACACTCAGACGGGCAGTCGATACTTACCAGTAGGAAGCGGCGTGGCTGCAGATGACGAACGCCATGGCAGCCTCCAGTGGGCGCCGGGGACGGCCACCTTAGCAAACCACTGCGGAAAAACAACGATGAAATCTCAACATCTGCCACACAAAAGAATGTAGTTTCATGATGCCCCAGAGAACATTTGTGCAACTCAACACACACCGCACTGCCAATTCCCGTGTTTTAGTGTGGACACCAACCTGGGCATTTTTTAAAGATAGGGTCTTACTCTGTTGCCCAGGCTGCTGTGGAACCCCTGGGCTCAAACCATTCTCCCACTTCAGACTCCCAGAGTGCTGGGATTGCAGGCGTGAGCCCAGCCAGAAATGCCCTTTTCATGCAGTCCACAGTGGCCACCTTTGGCGCCCAGTGAGTGGTGGCGAATCCTTGGTAGCACTTGTACAGCACTTGCTACCCAGGACTGCCTCTAAGGCTCTGCATGTATTTCCTCATGTGATCCTCAGGGGTGGCGGAATTCTAAAAATAGTCCCCCAAGATTCCCGTCCCCTGGTTGTTCGATCACACATCATCTAGGCCCGCTGTGAAGGAATTTTGCAGGTGCAATAAAAATCCCAAGTCGCTGGACCCTAAAATACAGCGCAGTCCCTGGATCACAGCCGGCAAGGAAACAGGGACCTGACTCCCGCAACTCCAAGGACTGGATTCTGCCAGCAACCTGGCTGAGCTCGGAAGCAGAGTCGTCCCTCCAACCTCCAAATAAGCGCAAAGCCACGGACGCCGTGAGTCCAGCCTGGACTTCTGACTGCGGGACTGGGACAGAGCAAGTGGGAGCTGCGTTAAGCTGCCACGTTTATAAACAAGAATAGGAAGCACGTCCCCAAAAGAAGCCTAAGAGGGCAGTTCAGACGAGGACACAGAGGCAGAAAGCGGATAGGTCACGTGCCTCCAGCCAGGCAGTAATGGCAGAGACAAGACTCAAACACAGATCTCGAGACAGGTGGGTAAAACCCTCTGCGTCCCCTGTGCAGTGAGTAAAGGAGGGTGGGGAGGGAGGAGCAAGTGCCACCAAGGGAGCCTTTGAATGGGCTGCCAGAACCGGAGGGCCAGCGGTCCGCATTCCAGCCTGTCTGCCCACCCGGCTCAGACACAGACGACACCCAGCCTGGGACTGAGCAGGGAGGACGCTGCGGAGGCCCCCTGACGG